TGAGTTTTATATATATATATAAAACTCAAGGAGTGGGATCTGGAGTTCCCCTCTGGTTGTTCCTCCATGGGACATGGTTGTTGGTTTAGGGCTTTTGTCTCCCCAATTATGTGATTTGAACTAATGATAAGGCTCAGGTGGGGCTAGATCACTTGTGGATTGAGATTCCCTGCTGCTTGGGCTAGTTGTATGTATTTTTCAGCATCAGGATCTCAACTCTGATCTTGAATTGTTCCAATCACTTTCTAGTCCCTCTTAGAGAGAAGGAGATCCAAGAATAACACTAATGTCACCAACAGACAGGCAGCCCTAAGATAAATGTCCAATGTCTACTTTGACACTAACTGCCACCTACATAGGAATGGTGGGGTCAGCATTTAACATCAATACATACAGTAAAAAGCTGTGAACTAGAGTGAGCATTCAACAGCAGGTGTCTACTATGCAATCCATGTTCTTTCATGTATAGTTATCTTTCTTGTATTAATAATTACAACATAAATGGGGTTAGAATTATATAAACTATATAATTCTAGCATTCAGTAGGATTCCAGATTCTTAGGGAAAAAGAAAATGAGATAGGAAGGTGAAAAAAAGTTTTAAATATTTTAAAAAGTGATCAGAGGAGATGCAGGAGGTGGGTAGTTGATGTAGGGTACAAAGAGAAAAATAACAGTAATAAAAAAAAGAAAGAAAGTAGCAACAGGAAAATTTGATTGTTAGTGGGAGAAGATAGTGAAGAAGGGATGATAAGAGGGACAAGAACCAAGGTGTGAACAAACCAGTCAATGTAAGATCAAAACAATCCTAACCCTCATATAGTTATACCCCAATTGAGTCAAATCAAGGCTAAATAAGAAACAAGTGCAGGAGAAAGTAATTAATTTGAAATTAAAGTTACATAAACATACATATATTTTTTTCAAATCTATCAATGCAATGAGAAGACACTCATCTACACACATATGCCCATGTACACAAACACAGAGTCTTGCATAATGGAAAAGAGTAAAAGATAATATAATGTGATTAAATGATGTTTGAAAAAAAGTGTTAAAAAGTTAAAATTTAAAGAAAAAAATATTAAAATGGAAAATGGTGAGGATAAAAGAACAAAGAAAAAAGTTAAAAAAAAAACAAGAGAAAAAACCCTACTTTAAAAAAAAAAAGGCTTATTTTTCACTGAGGTAGTCAAAACTCTTGGCAGAGATGGATTTTCATTCTTTCTATTTATTTTTGATATTACAATCTCCTTTTCACATTATTTCCTTCCAAGGTATGAACTCATCCATAGTCTCCTTTTTGTTCTTCTCCACTGGTTCACCACATGATTCTTTCAGCCACTCATTACATACAAAAAGTTTCCAGGTACTCAATATACTCTCCCTTTTTACCTCAGTGCTGTACTGTGTAAAGACTTTATAGACACAAGTTTATTCTGCTCTGAATACTCAAATTATGATGATTAACATAGTCTTTGCCATTAGCAAGTAAATTCCTGGGGTTAATGGGATATAGGTAAAAGCAGTGAATGAGAATTGAGCATATTAAACTCCATTATTTAACAATCTAAGTTTCCAAAGTTAACTCAGGTTTAAGGTAAAAGTAATGCTTTGTTTTAATTCCTATAAATATTTTCCTGCCAGATGATGGGTAGATAAAATATTGCTTAAAATATCTAAATTAGCGTTATTTGTGTATGAATACTTGAATTATTATGTGAGAAATATTTTTCAAAATAGCAGAACCCTTGAATTTAATGGGTATAAGTAAAAGCAAGGGATGTGGATTGAATATAATAAACTCTCGTACTTAAGTAGCTAGGCTACAATGGCCAGCTTAGGTTTCAGATATAGGTGATGTGCTGGCTTAATGCATTCTATTTTGCTCTTAGGGGAATTTGCAGGTATAATAGTGCTGAAAATTTCTGAAGTATGTTTATCTGTTAACAAAGACATAGTGTTTTAGGTTTATATTTTAATGGCATTTTCATATCATATCTAATTCTTTTTTATTAAATTATTTAATTATTCTAATTTGTTATACACAAAGGCAGAATGCATTGCATTTCATATTGCACACATAGAGCCCAATTTTTCAAGTCACTGATTGTACATAAAGCATTTTCACACCATTCGTGTTTTATACATGTACTTAGCGTAATGATGTCTAACTCATACACCATCACTCCTGCCCCCTTGCCTCCTCCCTTTCCCTCCCTCCCCTTTTCCCTATCTAAAATTCCTCCTTTCCTCCCATGCTACCCACCCCATCACCATTATAAGTCAGCATTCTTACATCAAAGAAAATATTCGGACTTTGGGTTTTTGAGATTGGCTTACTTTACTTAGCATTATATTCTCCAACTCCATCCATTTACCTGCAAATGACATGATTTTATTCTCTTTTAATGCTGAGTAATGTTTCATATCTAATTCTTTAGGCTCACCCTGTGATCCCACCTTCAACCTGAGCTCTGCTGTCTGCAATGTTATCAACACCATTATTTTTCATAATCGTTATGACTATAATGATCCATGTTTTCTCGACTTGTTGCAAAGGCTAAATGAAATTTTCAGGATTCTAAGCTCCCAGTGGATTCAGGTAAGGACAAGTTACTTTCTTCCTAAGAAAATACTTGTAGTTCGTTTTATTTTTTGTTTGTTTGTTTGTTTGCTTGCTTTATGGTTTTTTTCCAGATATATCCAAAATTATATATGACTGTGAGGTGAAGTTAATTGTTTGGACTCCACTGTCCTGCCTAGAGCATCATGTATAAATATCTGGGAAAGGTGCTTGAGTTCCTTATTCAACACTCAGGAAAATGAAGGTGCACATCTATGGCTTGCTTTCAAGTCTGTTAGTCCATTATCCCATGGATATCCTAGTAAACCTGAGAAGCTCTGATTCTATAAGGACTTTGATGACTGCCCACAGGATGACCATGTCTTTCAGTGGACATCCTGGTACATTTTGAAAGTTTCCATTGCCCACAAGACCTGCCCTATAATCTACACTTAGAGAGCTTTCACATACCTGGCAGGAATATCTCAACACAGGAAGAGGATATCTTTAAGGCAGGAGAATATTAGGGCCAAAGAAACTTAGAGAAATCACTGAGTTCATGGAGGGGTGTTTGCCATCCTAGCTAAAAGGATCACTGGGTTAGGGATGACAAAACGGTTGGTTTTATGGTATGTGAATCATAAAAACTCACAATTTCACCCTGTGCTAAATTGACATGTCCTATACTCTACTGAATTAATATGTGAGTAATCTTTACAAGTTGCTCAACCACTCTCATGGACAACTGAGCTTCTCAGTTTCTTTGAGCTCCTTCCATTTCTGAAACACTCATCCCATGTCTGAGCTTTATGTTCTCCATAAGATAACCCCAAATCCCTTAATGTCGTTTGTAGCAATACAAAATGTGAATCATGTTAATACAGGTCTTCTTATATTTTTTAGTTGTGGGAAAAATTATGTAGAATATCTTTTAAAAATTGCCTTTATAGAAGAGGAGTAACTTAAGAATTTAGAAAATAGTTATCATTTTTTTAATTCTCTGGTCCTAAGGTTCTCTCATCAATCATTCTATAAGTGTAGAGAATTTGTTCATGATTACAATAAAAATTACATTTAAGACAGGCTTGCAATCTCAGCAACTGGGGAGGCTGAGGCAGTAGGATCCAAAATTGGAGGTAGCCTGGGCAATGCAGTGAGGCCCTAAGCAACTTAGGAAAAAAAAAAAAGAAGAAGAAGAAGTCACTGCCTTTCTACCTCACCCCATTAAGGAGTCACTGAGGTGTGGAGGATGTGGAAATGGGTTGGTAGCAACAGCAACCCATGTGTCATAGCGGTCCTTCTGGGCTTCACCACCATCCCAAGGACCCCTAATGAAACCTCCCAGTGCTCTACACTGCTGGGTGCTGGTCGTGCTGCCCTGTGCAGTGGCAGGTCCTTGGCCACAACAGGCATCACCACCTCTTTCTGGGGGCCAAGGTGGTCACGGCAGTGCTCTGGGTGACACAGTGGATGTGGGCATGGATGGCTGCTACTTTGGGCCATGCACAGCAAGCTCTGATGTCAAGCACCAGTGTTGGTGCAGTTGATGGGGCAGAAAAGACCCCAAGGAGATCGTGGAGGGCTACAACAGTGAAGATGGATAAAGCAGCTTCAGCACCCAAGGAAGCCATGGACCCTGCAGCAGAAGCTTTGGTTTGAAAAGGTCCCACAGGATAAGAAAGGCTTCAACATCAAGCTGATGAAGGAAGAAAGCCCTATTTCAGACTGTAGCTCACAAGGTAGGTGGAGACCAAGACTTGAAGGAAGTTGTAGACATGCACTGTGTGGACTACCTGATGAAGAATGCTAACTACTTTTCCAACTGTGTCACAGAAGACTTTATTACCTGCATCAACCAGAAGTGGAAAAATAGCTGTCTTGGCAACCACATTGTGATGCAGGTCAGAGCAGTCATGTACAACCGTCTAGGGAGCTGTACAGTATAGCACAGCACCTAACCATCAAAATGAGAATGAGCCCATCCATTTCAACTATCATCAGAATATCCACTGTAATTCAGTGGTGAATCCTAACAAGGCCACCATTGGGGTGGGGCCTGGCCTGCCATCATTCAAACCAGGGTTCGCAGAGCAGTCCCTGAAGAATGCTGTAAAAGCACTGGAGAGTGGAGGAATCAGGGATTGAACAGCAAATCTTAGACAACAAGAAATGGGCCACAGACTCAGAGGCCATGAATGAGGACATAGAGGAACAGGTGGCTCTGGAATCCCACCTACATTGGCTGAGAGAGAAACAGACCCACCAGGTCTGTGGTTAAGCCAGCCCTGGAAAGCCAACAGGACCAGTAGTTTGGCCCCACCAGTGTGTGTGAAGCCATCCGTGAAATACATGAGGATCTTCTCTCAGCATGAAGCCAGGGAGATTTAGGTTTTTCCTTGGGAATTATCCATGGCTCTCCCATGCAATAGATTACCCAATGCACATGATCTTTATCTCCACTCTGCTAGGAAGATCACCCATAGTAGCTCTGGAGATGGGAGTAACCTGTTATGAACTGAATGGCCCAGCTTTGACCTGTTTTGGTAAAGAATAATCTATGGTAGACTTGATGTTTCTCAATATAAATAGAGTAGGCACTGGCTCCATTTTGCCATAGTGTATCCATGAACTCAATCCCTCTGATCAGCTCCCCCGACCTCCTTTCTGTGTTCTGTTTTTTGTTTTGTTTTGTTTTTGTCGTTCTATTTTTCTTAGCTTTTATTTCTCAGCCAGCCCATTCCACCAAGGAGACCCCCATTTCCATTACCTGCACAGGATGCAGGCGAGAACTGGCGCCTGGAACTGGGACCCCCATGGTGTGGAATTGAAAGATAACTAGTGGAAGTTTGGCCCTCTCTTGCAGAAAAAGCACTCTTGTGGATATTATGGGTTATCATATTGTGGATTAGTATAAGGAGAGAGGAGAGGGGAAAGTTTTTATCATGGGACGTTAAACACGGAGAACTCTTTTTCTTCAGAGAAAGAAATCTGTTTTGCAATTCGGAAAACAATAATAAAACAAAAGGGAAAAGATATTTTTAAAAAGTCCATACGCCAGCCCGCAGACAGGGAGAAATCTGTCCATAGAAGAAATGGGCCACAGACTCATAAGCCATGAATGAGGCAGGCAGGCGGACCAGCGGCTGCATCAGCCCTGGCGAGGGAGCCAGAGACACCTAACTGCAGCGGTGGCAAAGGCAGCGGCCATGGCTGCTGCAGCTCTTGGCTTGGTGGCGCCTGGGGCCAACGTGGTCGCCCTGGCCGGTGGGGTCCAGCCAGTACTACAAATATTCTAACTTCAGATGGACAAACATGGAAAGCACTCAAGACAGGCCAGCGAGCAGGGTGGGAACCCAGAGCTGCAGGCGAGATTTCGGGACACCTGGAAGGCACAGGCGGACAGCTCAGGACAGGCGGCAACGACGTGGCAAATGTTTTCTGCACCGGCTTCTTCCAAGCCCCGCCTCCCGCAGGCCAGGAAGGCTTTCTCAGGCTTTCTCTCAGTGCCTCCCACCATGGCTGGGGGTGCCTTCCAGGCCTGCCCTCCAGCTTTGCCAAGCCTGCATGTTGCATGCTGCTCCTTAAAAAGGAAAGCCCAGCTACAAAATGTTCTTTCATTTTTTCCAAAGAAATGCTCGCTAACGAAAAAAGTTTTTTACAAATTCCAAGCCAACAAATCCCTGTGTCTTTAATCGCAGCCTTGTGTTTAACTCCCCACCCCAGCCATGCTGAGTTACATAAACTAATCCTAATCCCAATAACAGGTTTGTCCAAGGAACTTCATTTCCTATTCTCTCTATAACTACACTACTAAGGAAGAGTTGTAAAAACTTTTTCTAACAATAATAATTCTAATAAAGCTTCTTGATTATTATTTTTTTTCTTCACGGATGTTATTGGGAATAAATCTGACAATTATGAAAATACAATGCTGACATCTGCAATATCTGAAATATCTTATATGTTTTGGTGATTACCAGATTTTTAAATCTTCTGATTTCTACACATACGCACAAGATTTCTATTTTTAACTGCGTTACATAATGACAAAGTTTACATAGATAAAAAGTGCACTCATAATATTTAAAGTAAAATAAAAATGGATCAAAATACTTTTAAATCACGTGATTTAATAAGATTCAATTCAAAGTGGGTAATTAAACAAAAATAAACAATGTCTTCATTCTTAATACATATTTTTTCCAGCTGGTTAAATAATCTACATAATTTTTAATTTATAGGATAATTAACATTGTGTCTATTTGCTTCTCACAGTTTTTCTTCAACAGGAAATATAACTCATATTACTATGTACATTTACCCACTGCCCGCCTTTTACAGCTAAAGATAAAGTCGAGGATAATTTAATTCATTATATAAATGCCTATTTCAAGAGCTATTTATTGACTAATAAGGTTAAGATGCTAACAATAAGTAATCTTAACTCCTATTGTTTATGTTTTCATAAAATGTTAAACATATATAATTCTTAGTACAAAGGTGTCCAAAAACTCTGGCTACATTTCCATTAAAATATTTCTTCTTATTAAAATACAATAATTTATCTAGATTCAAAGATTTACAAGAATTGTTTCAAAATGTGTCCAAAAAGAAGAATCCTAGAGGAAAGAAAGAAATGCTTCTACAGAGAGGAAAGAAAAATTAGACAGACCTAAAAGAAGAAAGAAAATATTTCTGGGAAAAAAGGTCTTTAAGTATTAAAGGCTTTAATAATAGAAAGAGAAATTACATACAGAAAGATCTAAATAGGTGATATTTGAATAGATGGAAAAGTTTATATGTAACTAACTTGGTTATAAGTACATGAGACAGTCAATTAAAGTTATTTAAGCCTTTTTCCTATGATCAAATATTACTATGCTAATGTAAATCAAAATACAAATTAATCTCTTATGCCTAGAAAATTTTATTATTTAAAAAAGAGCTAATTTTGGGCTGGGTTTGTGGCTCAAAGGTAGAGTATTTGCCTAGCATGTGCGAGGCCCTGGGTTCGATCCTCAGCACCACATATAAATAAA